TATTTTGGTGAATTGCCAGCCTCACAATTCTGAGGCAGATCTCCTTAGACATGTGAATCGGTTTGCATAAATATTCCACAGACATATCCCCCATCTCACAACAATCATGCACACTTGAAATGTTACATCAGTTATTAACTGTACAGAAACCAGGAGAGAGCTTTAAGCCAGCTCTCACTCACTTGTGAGCCTGATTTGCCACATAAGGCGGTGGCAGTGCCTGATAACACTGCCACACTGAAATCCCAGCCCTCTAGATATGGCTTTATTCTCAGCAGTATAAGAGATGGAAAACTGCCATGAACACTTTAATATTTCATCCTTAGGAAAAGACTTCTAAAATTTTACTTTATAAGGCTTTCTCTAGCCTCAGGTAAATGATCTAATTCATTTCCAGGGAGGAAGTGTATTTTTAAACCTTGCCTGCTGATGCTGCAGTTTGGTAGGGTGTGCTCAGTAGAATGGTTATTTGCTCTAAACCAAAAAAATAACCAGTGCTGAGGTGATGATGAACACTAGTCACTCATGTCTGCACTCAGAGCAACAGGGAAACCCCCATAAGCTCAGGAAACAGGAGAAGCCTCCATCTCTGCTTACATGCTCACTGGATGACTTGTTTGGTACACCAGTTTAATCCACTGGGTCCCGCCAAGGCCTCCAAACTATAGGTAGCTGCTAAAACCAGCTTGTCTGCACTTGCAAATAATCCACACTCACTTTTTCGGCTTCACCAATTCCAGCAGTACAGATAAATGTGAGCAACCAAAGAGTTATGTGCACAGCACCTGATAGCAAGTATGTGAGAAAATGAAACAACTCTTCAAGCTCTGCTACAATTCAAATACTTTTAACAGGAAAATATACTCAGGACATCAGAGATGACAAAAGCTGTACCAGGGACTAGTTTGGGCAAGGGCTTAGATTTAAAAGGCTTCAATTTTCTTAAAATAATAACCAGTTCTCCAGCATAGACAAGAACATTGAAGGTCTGTTTATGTTTCCTTTATCTGCTACAGTCTCATAAAGACTTTATACTGTAATCTTTGACTTGTTATGTTAGAGAAAATCCCACAGACACAGAAATAAGAGGCAATTGTATGCCAACCCCTTTTATTAGCACCGTGCCTCACCCCCTTGGTTATTCACACATGCAGCAGTGAGAACTACACTGCTCATCTCACCTGGCTCTTACATTATCTTTTGTAATGGCAAATTTCAGTGCCCCTCAGCTACAATAAATCCCGGAAGGTTTTATTTTCAAGACAGCTACCTCAAAAATTGCAAGCCAGAGATATAAAGCAGACAAAGGCAAAAAAAAATTACTTTTGGTGTAGTTTATGCTGATGTCATTCTAGAGACTTCACTTTTAGTTACTGGGCACTTGCACCATTATCAGAGCAGAATCCATCTCCCAAGGACAGGTTTTGTTGTAGTAAACTGGTTTTACTCCAGCTGGTTTATAAAGTCCTACCCTTGGTGTATTTACACGGCCATTAGCAAGTCAGAACACCTTCCAGAGAAGTGAATTGCAGACAGCCAAATCACAGCCCTAGGCTGATGCAGAAGTGGGTAGGGTTTTTAAACTTTCTGCAGCAGTTAGTGTTTAGGCACATAAAAGCACCCCACCCTCGTGCCCCAGGCAAGAGAGAATACTCAGACATTGCAGAGTGTACTTCATGCATCAGGATACATCGCTTGGCTTTAAACGAGGTCAACAGATTTCAGAAAAATGAGAGAAGGGGGTAATACATATATGCCTTAAAACAGTATGCTGACTAACATCCCAGATACTCAGTGGCAATGTTTAGGGGGAAAAGGCCTGGTTGTTGTGCCCAGCAAACTGTTAAATGGAAGTTTTATGATGCTCCTGACACTCTGGAAGACAAGAACCCATAAAGCTTAAACTGGAGTTTCTAAACTCAGAGCCAGTATCCTTTTTTATTACTTTCCATTATGACTTTGCTACTACAGATGATGCCCACAGAGGAATTAAAACATGTAATTGTCCTGAGAACACTGCTGTGTCAGCCCCAGTGCTCCAGTGCTGTTCTGGTACCACAAGATTATTGAGAGGGTACATGGATAATATCTTTCACTGTGTAGCCAAACTGGTGTACACTTAGAAGAAAAAATAATCTGATAACTAAAATGTCAATGCAGAAATGCCAAAGAAAATAGAATCAAGGAACACATTTTGGTTCCTCGGGGAAACTAATATCTTTGAAGGGAAGTGGTATGTTCAGCAAATAGAGATCAATAATTTTATTACCCAGTGCACAGTTTCTTACACTTTTTTTTCAATTATTTTGCTTACCCCAAACTCTTCTGATCACAAGAGGAAGCAAAGAAATCAAACAACAGCATTGCAGTGCTTAATAAACACTATTGCAATGAATGTGCTACTGTGTGCACATACTGGTAATCTTAACTTAACAGCAAGAGAAACACTCTGCAGTGTGCCATAAACATGCCAGGATCAATGACACATGGATAATCTGTTTTCCTCAAGGAAAACAGATGAGCAGTTTTTGAGAGGAAGTTTTCAGTCTGACTCTGGTTTGCCAGTTGTAGAAAACATAATATCCATCACTATTGTGTTTCTGCAATAAACATATTGGATAGTCACTGCATAGTGCTTGATGGCACTCTAGTTCCCAGCTCTGCAGGAGCTCCAGCCAAGTGCTGGGCGAGTCATGTTTTTGCAGTACTGTGTAAACACCAGGTAAATTCATAGGAAAATGGAGTAAACACAGCTAAACAACACTAACCTGAACAAGATCTTTTTCTAGAGTCATTGCCCATCAGTGAGTACATGACAATATTTCCTTTCCTCTACTCTAGATGCAGCACACTAAACTCACACATCCAACACATGGCACCATCGTTCCAAATTCCCAGTCCCAAACAATCTGTAATCTCACTTGGGGTGGGGCATACTGGCGTTGCTCTAATTAAGTACAATGATAATGCACAGGATGACTTTTTCATGTGTTATGTTCATGTAAAATCTTACTGGAATCTCACCTGGCAAATGATCTAAAATCTCAAGCTTTCTGTTGTTCTTGTGCAACTCATCTGTTAGCATGTCTGTACAACAGAGCATGAGTAATTTAAAGTAGGGACCATCCTTGAGATTGAAGGAAATACCCTGTGGTCTTGGAGACATGCCATCACAAAGCTCCAGAGCATCCAACCCTCTTGATAAATTTGTAGCACTTTTGCTGTTGCACTCAGGAGTCCATTTTTAACATATTTAAAAATTAAAATATCTGCAACATTAAATTAGCTGAAGATTTAAAAAAAAAACAAACCTCAAAACCCAAAAAAGGGGCAGATTTAAAAAATGCTTTCAAACTGCCTCAACACTTGGGGTATTGTTCAGCAGGGTTTTTTTGGTAGATGGTTACAAAACATAGTACAACACCACATAATGTAAATTCCCACATTTGCTATGAAAATATTATTTCTGAATCAATTTCACCCACAGATAAAATCTTATACAAGGTGTATAAGTTATATAAGTTGTATAACTTATACAAGTTGTCAGATTTCCAAAAACAACTTGTAGATGGGCTTTGAATGCTTTGATACCTTTTACTGTAGGAGAGTAAAAGGTTGCTATCATTCCTGTCAAATACTCTTTGAAGTGTGTGGATCTATGAAAATTCATGGTCAAAACTGCAGCAACTGCTAACACGTTATCACACCTACAACACTCAGTGCTTACGCATCTCTTACCTCCAAATTGTCTCTGGTCTCAATAGAGATGGGAGTTACACAAGGTGAAGAGAAAATAGTGTCCTTATCTGTAGCAGGAACCAGGCAGGAAATTAATGCAGTTCTGACACACAAGCTAAGGGCATGATCCAGCGAGAGCATGTGGGTGCCTGTACCCCACGTGCTGCTCTCAGCACAGCTGTGTGAGGCATCAATGCACAGCTCGGGCAGTTCAGCTCTGGGCAGTGCTGGAGGAACCACTGGGACATCATCCCTAAGGGCTGGGAGCTGTTGTTGTTATGGCTTCCTCAGCTCATTCTGTCAGTTCTGACAGTTACAGCTGAAAAACGTTTTGTACAAATCAGTTTTGAGAGAAGTAAATCCACATGGGGAAGCCAGGTGTACAGCTGACAGCAACAGGGAAACCACTCTTCAGCAGTGCCTTTGAGTGTAAGGGAACTCTCCAATCCTGAACTGCACCGTGCAGCCACAGCTGGGATTGCTCCTTGTACAGTCACAATCTCCCTATTTCTCCAGTCAAATGTCTTAATTTTCTCTTCTTTCCCACAACCATGACAGTGCTGCTCAGGTCACACGTCTCCCAGTGAGTCCTTCAGTTACACTTTTTCCCCTTATGTGAGGAGATGGTTTCTGGGCTAAAGGCTTTTGCAGCTCCAGGTGGAGAGTTGTGGCTCCCTTGGCTGTGACCAAAGGGCCAACTGTGCTATCCGTAGTGGGGAGCACTGCACACTGAGGCAGACCGACCGCCCTCCCTGGCACAGGACACTTGCAGGGACATTTCTTATCGTTTCTTATCCCTGGCAGCTAGGCCAGGGAAGGTTTAGGTTGGTCACTACGAAAAATTTCCGCATAGGAATTGTGATTAGAATTGGATCAGACTGCACACGTAGATCCTGAAGTCACCACCCCTGGAAATGCATAAGACTGAACACAGCACTTGATGCCAGGGTCTAGCTGACATAGTGGTGCCGGGTCATAGGCTGGATTCGACGATCTTAAAGAACTTTCCAGCCTGATTCTGTGAGGTGACACCAGGCCTTGATCCAGACCCCAGCCATGGCGTGGCCGGCCCACGCTAGCCTAAGGGACACAGCACCGCCTGGCATGCCTAGATGCAACAGGAAAGTCTACGAGGTCCTCGGAGACGCCTCGCGTTTCCCGGGAGCGGGAGCGGGACCTCCCTCAGGCTCCGCGCCCGCCCCTCAGCCCCACGCGCCTCCCGCGGCGCGCAGGCGCGAGCGCTGGCGCCGCCCGGGCACGCGGGGCGCGCAGGCGCGGCCGCCCCTGCCCGGCGCGGGAGCTGAGCGGGCACAGCGGGCAGAAGCGCCGCTCCGCCCCGTCCCGTCCTTCCTCTCCGCCCCGGTCCTGAGGGCTCTGTGCTCCCCGAGGGGCCTCCCTGCGCTCCTCAGCCCCGAGGGCCGCTGCTGTGGCGGCGATTTTGGGGTGCCGCGCCTCAGAACCAGCTCCACGGGTCTGTGGCCCTGCTTATGGGCTGCACGGTCTTCGTCCTGCTTCTCTGCGGGGGGAAAAGTAGCAAGGCAAAAGTTTGAGTGTTAATAGTATTGTGTTAATAGAGTGTTTAAAAGTATTGAGCCTTTTGTTATTGAGACAGTAAAAAGAGTACGTGCCTTTATATAACGTAGCTATAAGCAGGAAAACAAAGGACGTAGTTACAGACGTACCCAAAGTGCAAAAGTCAAGTAAGTACTGAAAAGTAAAATTGTTTTTTCCCCTTCTAATTCAGATTTTCTTTACTTGCTGGACACGATTTTTTGTGCGGTGAACAGCATTACTGGTTGAGAATGCTAAGGATTCTTAGCCGAAGATACAGGAAAAGGATTTTAAGCGTGCAAGAGATCTGTGAATATGCTGCCAAGTAACAGCATTAGCAAACGACTGGAGAAAGTATTTGTTATGGTCATTTAAAAGCGAATTTGCATTAGAAAGTAAAGGCAGAGAATCATAGGATTTCTTGGGGTTTTTAAAGTTATCTCTTAGGCTTAAAATTATTTTGCTCCTTGGAAAATTCTTACTATATATCTGTGATATACAGTATGCATAAGAATGTTGCTTTTTCTAGGCTCTTCCTTACAAAAAGAAATAATAGTATTAAACTTCCATTATATTTAATGGATGCTGTGGTTTCCTGTTTAATTGATAGATTGCTAAAATACCAAATTAACTAGACTCCTTACTAAGGTCTGGGGCTTTTTTAATAGAGTACCATATGTTCAGTTTTGAACAGCTGGGGGGAATGTTGACTTCTAAGATAAATGAGGCCCTCCATCCTTTGGTATCAAGCCCAGGGTTGCTGGGCTATTAAGGCTTTGGCATTCTGAAGCTTTAGCAGTTTTCATCTGTGAGGAGGAAGCCCCTTGTGCCAGCCCTGTGTTGCCTAGTTGTAATTCGCAGGATTTTATTCTTGAGAGGCTTCTGTTTCAAAACTGGTAATTGCAATTTGCAGGTGAGTGGAGGTATAACTGTTGATTTTCCAGCTGCATTCTGGTCATTAGTAGGTGGTTCACAATTGCTAAATGAAATTAAACATTGCCAAATCGATTTGAAGTTGGTTCGTGCTGGGAGGTGTGACTTAACCATTTTAATTAAGGCACCTTTCTGAGTGAGCTTGGGATTTTTCCTGTTAATCAAAACTTCCACCTGTGTGAGTAATTACTTTTTAAAGCAGGATCCCCAGAAGGATCACATGAGACTGGATACCCAATTATATTGTTCTATAGAAAAGATTGTTTATATTTGTGGACAGCAAAAATCCTCCTGGCTCCACAGAGCTTTTGGAGCAGGGGGAAGAATAATATATACAATGGATTGTAAAAGACTTCATGGCAGTTAGTTGTGTCATGGATCCTCTCAAAGAAAAGCTGTTCACAAAGCAAGATGCTACTTAGCACATGAAACAGTTGTGTAACTTAGCAGATGTCCTTTTTGAACATGCCAATTAGAAAAGAAGCCTTAAAATTTCATATTAGAGCTTTTTACTAATTTCTGCAGCCACATGGCTCATTATAACAGGTGACAATGACACCATAATTCATTCTGTCATTTAACAGAGACAGCTATTTATCTCGAGATGGAAGAGTCAGTGCTGGATAAATTGCCATCTTTGTGCAATACTCCAAAGGATTCTGGGCCAGCACCTGCACAGGGCACTAGTTCAGGGAAACAGGTATGAAAACTTCCTACTTTTCCAATAATGTGATTGTTCATAGTAACAAAATGCTGGTGAAATCATCGAGGAGTCAGAAGTCACTGAGATGCTGCTTGCTGGAAGGCTAGAGACAGGCACCTTATACCTCTAGCTACAAGGCTGTGCAGGTAATAATGTGCCTGGTGTACTTTGCTCTGAAAATGCAGATGCTTGCTGTGTGTACAAAGTGATGGAGCAAGTGATGGCCTGTTAAGAAATTTAAATACTATATAGGGTGTGTGGTGGATCTGTCATCGGTTTTCTCAAATCCTGGTTTTCTGGGTTGCTGTGCATGCAGGATGACTTTCTGTGACTTCTGCCTGCAGTGGAACAAAGTACAATGCTTTCAGTTTGTGTATTATCCATAGTGCTGAGCTCTGCTTTGGTCTTATCCTGGGATGTGAAATGGTGATACTGCAGGCTTGGTTTGAGAGTATTCTGTAACTAATTCCCCCCTCTTGTATTTTAGTGCATTTCTATAAATAAAAATGTTAGACACAGATTATAAAAAAAATAGTTATTTTGAAGAAAAAAAAATGTTTTTAGATGCTTGTAAAGTATCTCAAAGCATGAACAGGTCAAAATTATACAGGTATTTCTAATATGTTCTAGAATACAGATGTTTTGTACTAGTTCTAATGCAGATGAATGGGATGGAACAGCAGGAAAGTAACCCTTACCTCCATTAAACTAGAGGGGAAATTGGTAGAATAAAATTATCCAAGTTGAAATATGCTGTATTTCTTTTACACAAACACTAGATGAGTAAGTTTGCCTCAACAGAATACAAGATTTTGTCCAAGAAAATGTGGAGCTACACCTTTCCGTATCTTGCAGCTGTGTGTGCAAATACAAGTGAAAGGAAGATGTTAAATTTGTTCAAGTTTTTGAAGGCTATACAGACAATTAGGAAGTCTGGCTTTACAATGATCGTTAAATATATTACATATTCTATGTAAATAATAATGATTGGTAAACGGTTATTTGAGATTTGATAAAAATTTAAGAATATTCTGACCACCTGGCTTTTCTGGGTTTATTTATTTTTTTTTCAGCAAATGAGTGCAGCTCTGAGGGAACGATTAAGGAAAACAAGACGTTCATTTAATGCCAATTTTACAGTGGCAAAGCGGCTCAAAATAGACAGTGAAGAAAAAGACACTAAAGACATTGCTGGTGCTGACACAGGGTGCTTGCCAGAGGCCAGTACAGACTGTTCCAGCTTACAAGATAGTTCTGAAAACTTGGAAGGAAATGGCACTGGACATACATGTTTCAAAAGTCCCTCACAGGAGAGTGATCCCTGTGGATCAGCAGAGAATTCGGATGTGCTGCAGGTTGATCTTGGTCAGCAACAGTCCCTTGAAGAGAAAGTAAAGCTGGAGAAACAAGTGCAAGAGAAGGAAGAGCTGCTTCGTAGACTCAGACTGGTGAAGATGTATCGATCCAAGGTGAGGCTTTACTTACTGCTTTTTTTGTGTGGTGGTTGTGTATTGTCTCAGTTTAAGGTATTTTATAAGAATATCTGCAGGGTATCAAAACCCCCTTAGGTCAGCAGATGACTTTTTTTTGTTTGTCCCAATTTCAGAACAACCTGTCTGAGCTGCAGGCTTTGATAGCGAAGTGGAGAAGCAGCACCCAGCTGATGCTGTATGAGCTGCAGTCAGCCTTTTCTGCAGATGGCAAGAAAGTGAGTCTCACTCAGCTCATCGACACTTTTGGGTTAGAAGACCAGTTACTGCACTACAGCAGAACAGAAGAAGATTTTGTAGATGCATAATCTACAGCTGCAGAGCTTTCTTTGCACAAACAAAAAAGCAGAAAAGACTGAATAAATTCTGATTGTGTCAGAAGTGTTGGTCAGACAATGGACTTTATGCCTTGGGGTTAGGAGGTTTTCTCCAGAGGGACTTGTAAAGCTGTGTGCATACATACAGTAGGCACTGTAAAAGGCATTACTTAATGGAAAAAATCAAACTGGTGATGTTTTGGAGAATCTGGCTTAATGACTTGGTCAGTGAATTTTTATTTAATTAAAATAAAATTAAGTCATAGTTTAACAGGTAGAAAGCAGTCCATTTTTATAATTAGTCTCTGCATGGTTACTTGTATTGAAATAACTCAGATTGTCAATTCTTTTCACGTTCAGATGGGGAAGAGTTGTTTGTTGGTAGATACACCCATTTTACAAATGTCTTCCTGGTGCCAGTCAGCCAGTGAAGGCTAAAGCAGCATTTTGTGAGTTAAGTGAAGATAACTAATTTTCATGATGGTCATATTCCAGACCTGAGATAAGATGCTCTCACTGGCTTTAACTCCTGCTGAGGGAAATGTGTCATAATGTAGCTGCTTTCAGGTTCTGGTCTAGACAGTCTCTTCAGAGCTGCTGTCTCATAAGCATTCTGCCACAGCCTGAGGTAATAGGAAGGAAGGCAAGAAAATTGAAACCAGCTTCCTATTCTACTACATCTGAGAGCCAAGGTGTTTTCTCTTCAAATAAATAAGAAAAACAAGGCCTTGTTTATTGGGATTGCTTCAAACACAGCATCATAAAGCTGAATAAATCTTTACAATTTCATTTATTCTTCAACAAATGCCCTTTTTGAAGGTTTTTTTTATTTAACTTGAAATTGCTTACTTTCTCCATCACGGTACCTTTTGTTTTTTATTTTCCCTAAAATCACTGCTTCTCAAGTGTAACAATACATAAATCTTAATGACTATACAACTCTCCCTGCTAGGAATCTTGTTTTCTTATTGGTTATACCATACCTCTTTTGTTTGTAGTTGCTATAGCCTGTTTCCTTAATAAGGGAGTAATTTCTTAGACAGCTGAAAAGGAAGAATATCAAAGATCATACAGAACATTTTAGCCATTGGTTAAGGCTCATTAGACTTCAGTCTGTACCTACAAGAATACTGACTCTTGCTGTCCAGAGAGAATTAATTCTTTATTGAGAAAAGTCTTTATTGCAAATCACATTTTGAATATTAAAGCACTATTTCTCTGCCATTTTAGGCAAGTGCAAAAAGATGATGGTGCCTGGTGCAGGGGCCAGTTATCTTCCCTGAGGTTGGAATGATGCTGCTTCTAGGGCAGGTTCAGCAGAAAGGCAAACGCTCTTGTAGTAAGTGGGATGTAATTAGAATCCTTACAAATCCCAATTAGAGATGGAAGAAAAAAAAAAAGGGATGTATAGGATCACAACTGACATAGTTTTTTCTTACAAATGTAGAATTTTAAGCTATGGTATCAAAGCTATTGTTGCTCTCACAATGAAATGGGTTTAGATATCATGTGAATTTATGAAAGAAGGATTGACACACACCACAGAGCAGGGAAATAAAAAGCAGGGAGAATGCCTGAGAAGGTAGATTGGGCTCTAGCCCAGTCACAGGTTTTCACAGGTTCTTTATTTTTCTTAGCTGTTGTTGAAGGAGCTGGCAGGAAAATACACTGCATCTCAGTGTAAAGGGGTGGGAGATGCCAGCATCTATTTCAGGAGGCCAGATGCTTCCAGACCTGGTTTTCCTGTGATTCTGCCCACGGCAGCAGCCACAGCTCCTGCTGGCGGTGGGTGATTGTACCACAATAAGGCACAGCTGCCTTTGGGATGGGGCCAGGTCGCACACATGGTCAGGACAAGCATCCCTGCATCTGCTCAGGAACCTACACCTGTGCCATCACAAGGGTAAATTACTATGTCAAATCCATAGACATGATGCCAATTCATAGGTTTCTTTACAAGGTTCTAAATTTCATATTGCAAATAATGGACATACAAATATACTTGTTCTTCTATCAGTCTACAGTTTCTTGTATCCTTTGTTTTCTGTAATGAGCTATACAGTTTATATAATAAAACCAGTAGAAATAAATCTCATCAACTGAAATATAATGGGGTTAAGACCAGGTGAAAAAATACAAATCAGACAACCATGTATCTTTCAAATGCAAGTTATTTAAATGAATTACAGAAGAAATAATTTGTGGAAAGAAAAGTTCAGGGAGAAGAATCAGCTGTCAAAACTCTTTTCCCTTATATAAGACCAAGGTGTTATTTATCTGTTATTCATCTCTGATTTTTAAATAATATGGAGTGTTCTTGGATTACAACTTTCAATTTCTGACTGAAGAATTGCAAGCTGTTTTTCCTGTTCCCTTATAAGGTTCCGTAGGTGTTTCTGCTTCAGTATCTCTTGGTAACGCTGCCTTGTGATCTTTTCAGAAATATCCCGTGTGTCTGCAGAAAACAAAGTATTAGTGTTAGCCTGTGCTCACAGGGGATTGTGTAGTCTATATGGGACCTGTCCTGGGGTCATTCCAATTTCTGTATAAAATAGGCAAGCATTTTAAAAAAGCTGGGCTTAAGAGCCTTTATAGTACTGGATAAAGCAAAATATTTCAAAAAGGCACTGGGCATGCTTTCTTTAGCTTCTAGAAGGTACCCACTGTGTTGCAAATCTGTAACTGTTTTCCACTAGTGGAAAGATCTCTGTAAGTTTTCCTAATAGTGAATACTATTCTTAGCTCCACATTACTTCCTCTGTTCTCTTGGAAGGGTGGAAAGAAGCCCATTGAACAGCTCTCAGAAAAAAATGAAAGCATGTTGCCTAATGAAGTTATTAATGACAGTAATAATCTGACTTGAGCAGTTCCAGGAATTCAGGTAGCTTTGGTTACAAAGCCACAAGAGTCTCCAGGTAACTCTTCAGTAACCGTGTTAGGTTTTGGCAGGAAGGACTCTGCTCACTGTGCAAATACATGACAGGCAGGCATTCCTTGCCCCTCAGCTGATGGAGAACAGCACTGTCCAGCCTTGGAGCTATTCTCTGAATGTTCTTTGCTTGTGCCTTACAGTGCCTCACTGGACTCACCAGCTGCCTCAAAGATGTGCTTCCTTTCTGACACAGAGACAAGCATTTCCTTCAGCTGCAGGCTGAGCTCGTAGTTCTCTTGCTCTTTTAGATGGATGCACTTCTTCAGCTCTCTGACTTTTTTCTGATGTTTTTTCACATTCTTCTTGTGCAACTGTCCATTTTGAGATGAATATAGCACATATATGAGATCATACAAAAAATGTTCAAACATTATAAAAATTATAATTTTAAGCACTGTGTTGTAGCTTGATAAACTCTCATGTATGCTGATTTGACTACTAGGACATTGTAAGCTTTACTTTGTAGAGTGTCTTTCACACATGGTATCTCAGTTTATGGTGTTCTAATTTAAGGAGCAGCCAAGGAATAAAGAGGCATAGGTCAGGAAGAGAGATATATTAAAGATAAAACTTGAAAGGCAAAGGGAAAAAAGGAAGTCAATGGAATCAGTGAGTTAAGGACATGCTCTTGGCTGCTGGGAGCTGCTGAAGCTGATGGATGGGCTGTAAAGGGACAAGATAAATACTAAAGCTTGGAGAGGAAGAGGAAGCTGATGCCAACTAGCACAACTTGGAGAAAATCCAGTGAAATCACATAAGAAAAAAGGGCATCATAATTTGAATTATGAAATACATGAAGTAGCCAGCAAATCGGATTGTTGTGTCTCTTGTTTTGAATACAAAGGGAAGGGATACTTTGAACAGGCTGGTTTTCCTGGAGAGAAACATTAAACAGTGAAGACCAAAAGAATGCTTCATTAGAAATGGTGGAATGACTTTTACAGTCAGTGCTGTGTAAGAAATGATTAGCAGATCTGCATTCAGATGCTCAGGATAGAAAAGTAATTGCAGTAACAGAGCAAGTAGACAGGCTTCATCTCTGCAATCCATGTGTGACTGTTTCCAAACACTAGAGAACTGCTGCTGTAGACAGCACAGCTCAAGTTGAGGAAACTATTGAAAGCCAGATGGACAAACACATGATATATCTATATTTATATCTATATATATGTGTGTGTGTGTCTCAGATGTGGTGCTTCCCTTGAATTTACCTTATCCATGACACCAAGGCTCTGCTCCATCCCTGCTAGATGCTGAGCAATGTGGGTTTCATAGTTCTGTACAGTTAGGAACTGAAGAAATAAAACCAGAAAGAAATTATCTCATGCCTGTTCATTCTCAAAAATTCCACCCTTCTATGAAGAAAATCATACTAATGTGAAACTCAAAACACTGGAATTGTGCAGTGGTAAAGCTTACTAGTGATCATAAATGGACCTTGTAAGGAGATGCTTGGATGCTGTGTGAGCTAGACTGTGCAGCTGTTAAAAAGGATGTTACCTATTAGATATTTATAATGGAAACAAGGGCCAAACAAATATGCTGAGGCTGTCAAAAACCCCAAGCTATGCTTTTGCTTGTAATCTAAGCTAACATAGCTGGAGGCCTAAGACAATCTGTCTTTAGGCTAGAGAGAAAAATTATTATTTTCTGTCTAATGGCTTCCTAATCATTCTTACTATTTTTATTTTTCTATCTGCATAGTAACTGACATATCAGAGAATTTATTGATTTTTTCCTTGAGCACACTGCTACTAAAATACCTCTTTATCAAATAAAAAACGGTAAACACCATAATGTTTTAAGGATCTATAACAGGCAGTAGACAGGTTTCTGTAGATGTAGATTCATCCTTCCAGAGTACTGTCCCACCAAAGTGATAGGCAGAATCCTGTGGACCGTTCTAGTCAGAGAAGAAATGGGAAAACCCAGAAGGAGCTCCTTGTTTACAGGATGAAACTTTTTCTCTCATTGCTTCATTAACAGCCTTCATAACAAATGGTCTCGTCCTTGCCCACACACATTTTTCTAAGCTATCTTTCTTTCTATTCCTGTTGTTGGGGTATCTGTTACCTTGTCTTTCCCACTAACACATATTTCTAATCAAAAAGTGGCCTAAGTCAATTCCCTCAGGCATTCAAATTCTGATTAAACTGGTAAATGCCTTTACTTTGGGCAGTTTAACTCTCTCTGAAGGGCAAGAGTTCTGCTCATCAATTTAATGAACTGAGCTAATGGCAACACTGGTGATAAATTTGCCACAAGAATTTTTCAGTACACTGTCACAATACCTCTTTGGAAACTGTTCTGGTGATTTGTGTTAGTTATAGAAGTTCTGT